TGCATGTCCCACCCGAAAGTAAAAGAGGGGAGAAAGAGAGAGACACACAGAAACAAAAGTAAAATCTAAAAACCAACACAGATTGCAATTAAAGTACTATGAATTCTCACCCAGTTATATCACATTTATCACACTTGAAACTTAAATCGACGATGGAGTGAGAAATTGGTTTCTGCTCTTTTCTGAGGTCAGCGTCTATTAAAAAAGACAAATCTACCTATTATGGCTGGTAGCATGAAATACATGCCACAGCAGACCACAGCAGCCAGGTGATCAACCATATTCTCCCTTTTTGTTTGATGCTTCTCAGCCTTACCAATGGATTCTCTTCATTCAAATGAATGAAAATGTTTTAAGGGACAGAGAGTGTAAGTAAGTGTAAGTATAAAGTGTATATGTGTGTGTGATTGTGTGTGTGTGTTTGTATGTGTGTGTGTGTGTGTGTGTGTGTGTGTGTGTGTGTGCGTGTGTGTGTGTGTGTGTGTGTGTGTGTGTGAGTGTGTGTGTGTGTTTGTGTGTGTGTGTGTGTGTGAATAAATGTGTCCCCGGGTGACTTCAGTTTGCGAGTGGCCATGACATTTGCTTTACCAGGTGTAGAGGAGCGTGAAGCTTACTCTGATGGGGTCTGTGAACAGTTATCACATTTACTCCAGGCCATGGGCTATGTAGCTGGTTTGTCAAAGCTGACTGTATGTAATGCTCTCCCTCCTTCTCTCCCACCCTCTCACCAGTTCTTCCACCTCCCTTTTCTGTCGTTACCTTACCATCCTCGCTCTTTCTTCCACACTCCCTTTCTCTCTACTTTTTTCCCGGCCCACTGACTGTCTCAGCCACATCCTCTCTGGCCCTCTCTGCTTCATGCTACCTCAGGCAGCTGTTTACCTTTATCTTTCTCCCTCCCTCTGCCCCAGCCTCCTTTTTTCAGTGTGGAAGTCTTAGAGGGGAACAGCTAGGGTTTGCTGATGGCTGGTAGTGGATTTCAGCTGTGTTTGTGAATGTCCTCGTGTACAGCTCTATGGCAAGGACTTTTAAAGCCGAGCAGATGTTTCACATACACGCATACATTGCACTAGATCTATGCACACACTGCTCTGTATAGTCATGAATTATTCACTTTGTTTTCACTGGGCTGGAGCGCAAGAGATGGGGTGAGAGGGGATGGGGTGAAAGAGATCTGAGCTGAAGAGAGAAGAGGCAGTAGCTGTTTGCAGAGGCATTGGAGCAAGCCTCCTTATAATTCTAGTCCACTCTCTTAATGTTCCCAAGCAATTGGAGTTAGACAGAGAATCTGGACTGCACTGTTAACCTATAGGTACACTCATAGCTCCCAAATGTTTTTAAGTTAGCTCTGTTGCCAGCTAAGTATCTAAACAGGTATCACACTATGCTATACACATTATTGGAGGTGCAAGTGAATTGTATCTGTACTATTATAGGGAAAGAAGATAAATGATAATGAGCCCAAGGTAGGCCAGTGTATTTTCAAGGTCCAACTATTTCATTAAGCAGTTGAACCAGTGCCAGAAGTGATCATTTATTCATTTTATGCTGTTTTCAGTAGTGCAGCATGGAAATAAACATATATTTGAAAGTGGGTGTGTCTACTCATGCAGTACACTGTGCTAAAGTAGGCTGTAGGGCTACGTACAGTTCTTTTTATTCTCTATAAGTTCTTATTTTATAGCTTAATCAAATTATATGGTAGAAAATAGTTATGACAATATCGGAGAACCCAAGGTGATTGAAATTGCTTGTTTTATCTGACCATTGGTCCAAAACCTCAAACTATTCAAGTTTTGTTGATTAGATGGATAGACTTGTGGACATACAACAGGGAGAGAGATGGGGGCGTGATGGGCTCGCCACGTTAACGGCACAAATCAGCAGTTTCTTGGGGTTAGGTTGCCTTGCTCAAGGGCACCTCGGCAGTGCACAGGAGGTGAAACTGGCACCTCTCCAGCTACCAGTCCACACTCCATATTGTGGTCGTTGGGATTTGAACGAACAGAGGGAAGCAATAAACTGACTAAAACAATTAATGGACAATCAAAATTGTTGCATGTATATTTTTTGTCCCACTAAGGGGAGTTCTTAGTTAGTTGACCAGTTGTTTCAGCTGTAGTTGTAGAATTGACTCATTCGTACACCAGACTTATGCCTTTATCTGAAATATCTTAAGTCTTATCTTTTAAATTGCCCTGGTGAAAATTAAAGTGTAAAGAGGTTTAATCACATTGGAAAAAAAGTGTACTGTATTTTAACCGCAGTTCCCTGTTCTTCTTTTGCCATATGTCTAACCAGATCAATTGTTTCTTGTATGTAGATCTCGTCAAGTGCTGTTGCCCACACAGTTTATCTTTGTATGATGCAAGTAGGAGGAAATACCACCCTGGTCCTGCCCCAGCTATTGAGGGGAACAATTATTACTTATTGGCAAGGTATCTTAGGTCCCTTTTACACATTCCCAAAACTCAAATCCTTCTAATTGTGTGATCTGTTACTTATTATGCAGTTCATGTACTCAGATGATTATAAATATCAGTCATTTCTGAACATGCAAGTGTTGCATTCTGGTTGCCAATACACAACTCAACAGTTAAATATCCAAGCATGTGGTAATTAACAAAAGTGTTGTAATTTGTTGGGAGATAATCCATTGTGTCCATTTTATAGTACATGGAGACCCATTTGGCCTGTGATGTAAGGGCACAGAATTGCTTTATAAAATGTGAATATTGAGCTACACTACAAGGTCTGGGTAAGAATTATCAATTTTCCTTGCCCTAAAAACCTGGCAGGCCGAACTCGCATACAGGTAGAGTGATCTGCTAAATCCTCTAATGTATTAGGTCTACCTGCCATGCTCTTTCTCCTGTGCTAATGGGATTACATACTGTAGAGTGTCCAGAGCACTCACATGCAAGCCTCTGTAGTGCTGGGAAGTTCAAACTGTTCTTTTTCTGTGGGATGAATACAACATGTAGCCTGTAATTTTCAATGAGAAGAAAATATGTGACTAGTATGTGCCAAATATATTTGCTTTCAGTTCAGGTAAACACAAATCATTAGTAAACACGTGTCTCCAAATGATTATTGGTATCAACTCTGAGACTCTCATGTCAGTTTAATCTTTTCACAAGATCGATGAGCATATTGGATAGCAGCAGGGTTTGCTTTTTAACTCCTCTGTGAGAAGCTCTCAGCGAGAATCCGAGGCTTTTCTGATATAATGAGGTGATATTTTGGCTTAAACTATAATCACAGGAAATCCAGTGAGACATACTAAAACTTTACAAAAGGAAGAACCACTGGCAGAAAGTCTCTTCAGTCCCATATGATATTCCCATTTGTTAGCTGTGTGCATATAGCCAGAATAGCTATTCTTTCCTTTGTATTTTCTGGTCTTAATATCAGCAGCTCCATGTCTTGGAACCTTTTACAATACCATAGATGTCTGAAGATTAGTAGAGTTTATGTAATGATGTCTTTTAATCTCTCTGCATTAATCTGACACTTCAGGAACTTTACATTAAATTTATACAAATATGTGTGAGAATTGTGAGAACAATGAGAACTTTGCCTTTACTTGTGCAGAGAACAGGGAGCAAAGGAATATTGTTGTCTGATTAATGTGTGTAAATAGTGTGCATATATATCTGCATGTGTGTGTCAGCTCGAAGGCCTACATTATCTTGTGTAACAGCAGCCCCAGAGCTTTCATCAGTTGTATTCTCCCTGAAGTGCTTACTTTAAATTCCACCCAATAAGAAGATGATGTCTTGGGGCTGTCGGGTCAGCTTGAACAATGATGGCACCGAGTACACAATGGAGAATAGCACTGACTTAAGATCACAATTAATAATTTACAGACCTGCCACAAATGTTTCATGACACATTTTTCTTGCATGAGAAGCTCACTTGTTTAAATGGTGGGCTTTGAAAATGGCAATACTCAAGCCCTTTCATATTTATCTTACACACCACGTAGCAGTCATTTACTAGTCTCTTCTGATAAGCATTACCACTGGTATCTTCAGTTCTGTGTTCAATTGAATATGACAGCACAAGTTGAATAGGCCAATACATTAAGGATGTTGTTGGCTGGTCAATGTAAAAACAACACATCTACAGAAGCCATGAAAGTCACAGACTATGAAATCGCTTTGGGTGACTTGTTGTACCGCACACTTCGAAATCAAGGTTAAATTGACATTAACTGCACTCCCATTCTCAGGGCTTCACATGGCCTGCATGAAATATCCCATGAAAACAGCACTCCCAGTGAGAAGAACTTCCATTTAAAAAAAAAAAGAATCCTTTTATGCTGGCTGTGTCTATGTGTCACTGTGTTTACCAGGGGCCGTTTGATCAGCCCCCCCCCCCCAATAGATAAAGTGAAGCTTGAAGGCCAAATCCTACCCAACATTGATCTGAGCAAACAATCCCTCCCTTTGCTGTCCTGACATCACCACAGTGTGAAGAGCAACAGTGTGTGACAGTAGCAATCTCGTGGTAACATCAACAGAGCTCATTAACTGTACCGGACATGTGAAGTTGCTTTGTATTTTATGAATGTGAACATTCAAATTCTTGTATCAGCAGTCACTTTAATAAGGTAATAGTGCTGCTGTTATTCGGACACTCTAAGTTAATACTAAAGATCAAAATATTTTATGCAAATGTTTTAATTAATTAATCCTCTTCCTCCATTATTTTTATTTTATTCTATTTAAAGACTAAATGTGCCTCCCTTTTTGACAAATTGCATTAGGATTATCTTTTAAATAATTTTACACCATTCTATGAATGTAAATCTTGTAAATCTTGCTTTATCCCCACATCACTTCTCAGTTTTATTTCAAAGTTCCTCTTATACTTATCTTCTCTCTCTGTTTTTACCCTTCATCTCTCTGTAATCTCCTATTACCCCCTCCTTTTTGCCCATTCCCTCTCTGCCTCCCTTCCCTGCCTCTTTTTCCCTCCCTCTTTTTCTCTCCCAGGCGAGTGATGCACGCTGTAAGCAGTGTGTGAACAAGAGCCATCGGTGTGTGTGTGTGTGTGTGCGCTCGCGTGTGTGTCTGGAGAGAGAGAGAGACATAGACCGAGCCCCAAACACGGAGCATGCCTCTGCGTCCGGCAGCCGGCAAACATGAGCCACCCAGCCCTCCACGGCAGGACCAGCAGCAGCAGCAGCACACACACACACACTCACACACACTCACACACTCTTACACACACGCAGCAAACGGCAGCCAGGGGGCCAGCACTGACAGCGGCAGCTCCCGGGAAGAGGACAGCGGCGTTCCCTTTCCTGTCTGTGTTCCGGCTTTCCGTCCCGGTGCAGAGCGGAGCCACAGTGCAAGAGCACCCATGGAGGAGCCGACAGGCAACACCGTGGTCATCCGCATTGGAATCCCAGACCTACAACAGACGGTAAGAGCTTGTTCTGTTGCCACTGCTGGAGAGAGGATAAAAGAGAGGGAAGCTGCCTCTCCCCCTTCCTTTCTGACTGGGTGCTTTCTACCTCTCTATTGTCTGCTTTATGGATTTGGCTTTATTTATTTTAAACATCTTCAGTTTTCTCTTTTTTCTCTTTCTCTGCCATTCTGTTTTCATCCCATCCCGCTCTTTACCCTCTCTTCTTTTGGTATGCACACTTAGTGGCTGTATTTACTTGCTGGCTTCTGGGGGTTCTGCTTCCCTCCACCTCTTCCACTGATGTGTCGCTAATAAATCTACCTCTTCATTAACGGGGCTTCAGCTGACTTTGACAACTGGCCACTTAGGGTGAGAGCAGGAGAGGGGGAGGGAGGGGAGAGGGAGAGAAAAGGCATCAGGGATAAAGAAGGCTATGAGAGGCACAGTAAATCCACAGGAAGAGACAAAGTAGAGAATCAAGATAGTTATACCTGAACTGTGGAACTTTACCTCAACCTCTGTTTCCAGACAGGATTTGAAAGGCAATCCTACATTCCTCTTAATAAAATCTTTCCCTGACAATGTAGCCTGAGTCTTTGTAGTATTGCAGCCACTGAAAAGATTGTAGAACCATTAGACTATGACAGATCCTCTCTTCTCCTTATTTTCCCATTTTCAACAAACGCTATGAAATGTCCTTCTCTTTACAAAGTCTTTATGCCGGGAAATGTGTTTTTATCTGTATTTCTTTACTACAGAAGCTGATATGGAACAGGGCGTCTAGATCCTAAATTAGTTGATTTCATTAATTTTTCAAGCTCTGCTATTATAATTTAAATGGCTTCAGCAACAGTTATCCTGTCGTGTTTGAGTAATTATTTGGGCAATACAACAACCGCCATTCTTAATGAATTGTTCTGGTAGTAGCCGTTTTAAAGTAAGTACTTAATTCTTTACTGTAAAGTAATATTTCCATGAAAATGTCCTTTACAAGTCACAGGTTAAAACGATCTTGAACAGAAAGTGATTGCCTGGTACTGCACATAAACGCAGAGAAGAAGAGACATTTTACCCTGCATTGGTTGTAGAATAAAATAAAGTGTTATTAATTCAACATAACTCAAACCCAATGTATAGTCTCTCTCTATCCCTGCTCTCTCTCACCCTGTCAGTAGCATACATAAGATCATACGATTGGTAATCTGTATTGATAGTTATCTGCATATGAATACAGAATCTGTAGACAAAGGACAAGATTTTGGTAGTGTTTGGTTGGTCTAGCTTCCATTTGTAGTGAGAGTAGTGTTGACCAATCTCAGTTGAGCGCGTTTTAGCATATGTAGGTAAACAGCAAGTAAAACCGATTGGCTATCATCTGATGACGATTTAGTTTAAAATAATAAGATATTATATGTGTTAATAGTGATTAATCTGGTTGTCGACGTTGTCTCTCAATTCTCAAGTTGCTAATCGGACTGTAAACAACAACCATTGCACGAAAGAGTAAGTCTTGGGCTTGGTATCCAATATCCAGATATCCGCTGGCTACATTGGAAGGTTAAAGATGGTGGAGAGATACCATGTGACATTTTCTATGTACAGATTTCATGATCTGCTTTTTAATACTAATGTGCCTTAGTGTCAACACTACACCTCTTCTACTTTCACTTTTCTACTGGACACTGACTCCTTATGGTATAGCAAAATGAAGATTCAACTTTTTCAGCCAGTTAATGCATTCTTGCAATAAGGTGCTCAGTTGCCTTTTCTGTAGGTGGCTTAGTTTGAGTGTCCTTTTGATTCTTCCTCCAGACATTGATGGCGAAGGCAAGAGGCTGCCTTTGTGTTTGTTATTGTTGATTACCTCATTGTTGTTTGCTACTTGGCTGAAATGACCCATTGTATCTTTGTGCATGCTAGGAATAAAGACAGGAAATAAAAGGAGAGCAGTTGAAAAGAAAGCAGAGTATTCCCCTAAGGTGCTGCACAATCGCTGTCTGTGAACAAAAATGGTTTTCATTCGAGCTCAAACACTTGCGCACACACACACACACACACACACACACGTTCAAGCACGCACAAACATACAGACACACACAAAGATGTACTGTATGCATGCACAAACAAGCACACCTGTACATGCTCTTACATGCATGCACACTCACATGCCCATAAGTCCTAATCCCATTGCCAAGGGACTTCCCTTAATGTGCTTATGTAATGTAAGGATGCTAAACAGATCATTAGCTTTACTTTCAAGGAGTTGCATTCTGTCCAATATAAGGACAAACAGGCAAGAGCACATACAGCCTGACATAATGACAAACAGAGTGTGAGAGTTTCAAAGTCTGACAGACAAACATGGATGCAGATGACAGATGGCCAGAATCTGACAGTTGAATCTTTTATAGAGCAGTCAAAAGTGACTTGTGTGTACTCTGAGTGAGCAGGAGATTACACTAGAATAGTCCACCCGAAGTAGGATTACACACATCCTGCTGTGTTTCAAGCCTGGATCAGGAGTATGAAGCACCATGCAAAGATAGAAACAGGCAACACTTTCACTTTTCAGCTGGAGAAAAGGGAGGAAGGGAGGTCTCACACGGAATGAGTGAGACCTCAAGTCTAAAATGGCTTAATGTTCACACTTTCTATTTCAGTGCATGGCCTGTTATGTTATTATTATATGTATTGTTATTTGTTGCTAGCTTATATGTTTTTTTTAACAGTTTTTCTATTCTTGAATGAGAACTGACAAACATATTTTTAATTTATCAATTTAAAGGAAATCAAAGTTTTGACTTTTGGTCTGAAATTCTTTCAATTGCACTTTGTTAAGAAGACTTCCTGTGAGGAGGCGTACCCAAAATATGATTGTGGGGAAATGAGATGGTGAATTAGCTTGTGATTTAGACTAAGCCAAGTCCATATAAAACTGTTTCTCAATCCTCAGTGCAACTTAAAATAAGTACTGTGTCTTGGCAGTAGGAGACAGTAAAGTTGCATTAGCAGTCAATAACACCATTTGTTCAGTCAGATGTTTGGGCAAATTATTTGCAAATATTGTGCTTTTTTGGGATCATTTATCATTCATCATATCCAACTCCCCCAACATTCTCTTTCTAAGAGCAAAAAGAGATGGTTTCCCAATACTGCTATTGGGTGTCATTTATCTCTCGACAGAGGAGAAAGAAACATTGACATTAACAGTCTGCCCCACCACTATTTACCTGCATTCATTCTTTTTTTTATCATTTGCTTCTCTTATTGCCTCTCTTAGGACCTTTCCTCTCTTTATTCATTTGTAGGGGGTGAGTAGAAAAAAATCCCCACGCCAGTATGTGTCCTAATCAAGTCTGGGTACTATACCATTGACCTATAAGGTTGAGGGTTCTGCCGATTCTGTTTACTGTTTGGAGAACCATTTGTCTGGTTGTCTGGTTGCCAAAGTCCAAGATCGCAGCTCTATTATTTTAGGCCCCCCTTTTTGTTGTGTCTTATGCAGCTTTTTCACTGCACGGTAAGGCTCGACTCAAGTAAACTCTGCTTGCTCTTGGTCGAACTCAGCTGATACACTGCAGACAACTGATTGGTCACACGACATGGGCCATCCTGCAGGAACCCCGCATTTTCTTAATAGCCAAGACTACCATCAATAGCGACCACAATTTTTTATTCCCTGAAAAATGCCGTCCTGCAATACCATGCCAATTGACGAAATGCAGACTTATCAAGAACACCCTCCCTTCATATCCTCTGTGAGCGTGTGGAGAAGTGAAGAGAGAATGCTGAATGCAAGTGGTGCAGGGGAAAAGAGAGCAGTGAAGTTGTCAATCTGGCAGTAAATGTACAGTGTAGGTTACAGTTTGTCAGTGAATAAAGGCTGCAACTTCTCAAGACCAAAGTAAAGTTCCTGTTTGTTGTTTTTTGGTTGTTTCCAAACTGCTGAAAAAGTGTCACTCTAATGCTTAACTCTGCCTACATTGAGGGGGTACTATCCAAAGTACTATTTACAGCGGAAAACAAAGTAAAGGCACAAAAAGCGCTGAGTCAAGCCATACCGGCTTTAATTAGAGATACTATGTTCTGAACTTTTACAGCATCTGTGAACTATCTGCAAATATGGTCTTGTTTTCAAACCCTGCATCCTACCTTGCATTGGTAGGATTTTTGCTTTTTGCCTCCTTTGCCCATATCCCTGTGATTAGCTTCCCAAGATAGGCTACCTCCTGCAAACCGCCTCCCTATCTGCTGCCGTTTTGACATATTCTCTGAGCAGTTTATTCTCAGATGCCATACTCATGGATGTTTTATGTTTCATTCGGGACAGAAGGCTTGACCCTTACAGAGCCCCTTTTTCTCTGGATGGTGAAATTTAAAAAAAAATAAAAAATAAATATTTTTTTATTTTTTTTTTTTTTTTTTTAATTTTTAAATTTAAAAAAAAAAAAAACAAAAAAGTTTTGGGGGGAAAAAAAAAAAACCAAAAAAAAAAAAAAAAAAAAAAAAAAAAAAAAAAAAAAACAATAATTAAAAAAAAAAATACCACAGAAACAGTAATGATAATAACAGTTTTAACCTGCCATAGCTTAAAGTTTGCCTTTTAAGAGAGATTTAAATTGGCTAAAACTATGCATACATTTTAGTTTAATGCTACTGTTTTTGATGTGTTCAAGGAACGCACTTTTTTTTATAAATAACTAGTTGGTTAAAAATGTCCATCTCTGATTTCTCAGTCCTGATCTCATCAGCTTCCAGGTCCTCTTGACCAACTTACCAAGGGAAAACTGATGACAGATAGGGCTTATGTGATGGCGTTGGACCTTGTTCTACTGAGCTGATAGTTGAGTGCTTATCTTACTTACCTGTAAAGGTACTGGGTTCGCTTGTGGGATCCCAGGTTAGGTAAGCGTCTTGTTTCCAGTATCTGCTATGTAGCATTCTGGTATTTTAATGCCTTTAGTCCGAATCGTCCTTTCTTACTTAGCTACCATCTGCCCACACTGCTGGTCTGA